AAATAGAAAGCTGGCTCCTTGGTTTAATGCAGAGCTGCGTACTCTGAACCAAAATGCTAGGAAACTCGAGAGAAAATGGTGCGTTACATGCCTACTGAAATCCTACCTAGTAAAATTTCCAAAATTTATAGTAAAGGCATAAAATATTTGATTGTTTTAAAGTAGAGCAGTTTGAAAGTTGGGTGGTGACACTGAGGTACCTCTTCATCAGCGCCTGAATGAAGCCTTCGCCGCCTCCATCTCGGTCCGCTAGGTGTCTGATCGCAGACCTCCACAGGGCTCGCCCCACTGACCTCCGCTCCTTCAGGATCTTCTGCTGGAGGAACCGGATCCTTTCCTGCAGAACAAAATTAAGGAGAAATCACCTGGGGGGTTTCAGGTTCCACTTTCCTCCAAACTCATTCGGGTCTTTGTGTTCTGGTCTTGCAGTGTTTTGGATAACATTCATCAAGGCCTGAGAGCAGCAGAACCACACCCAGCTCTACAACTGGATGCATGAAAACAGTCAAATCAAGCTGGTGTGATTAGGAGATAAAGAACATGTTGGAACTGGGGCTGGGCGATATGAAGGAAATCTAATATGACCATATATTTGGGATACAGGATATATGTTATGTTTTTATTACCCTCAAAAACAACAGAGTGCATAAACTTAAACTATTATACTCATTCAAACGTTTGGCTTAAAATTCAAAACATTTTGTTTTACCAGATCAAAGCTTTTCTACCACATTCTGTCTTTGGGTGTCAGTATTAGACCTTGAACAAGATCCCAGCAACCAAACAGGAAACAAAGAAAAAACACACAATACTAAATAAAATGCAAAAGAAAATAAAGTTTGTTTTGTGCATAATAAAAAAATGCAGAATGAAAAAAGACAAGGCCAACGCAATTGGTTTCACATCTGATTTATTTAATGTTTTAATAGGTGTGCGGAGAGATGCTGACATGCAGAGTATAAAACTTTCTTCATTTTGCAACGGATTACTTTTCAGGTGGTGGAATACATTTGTACTGCTGCCTTTTGCAGCGAAGGTTTTTCATCTTTTCACAAATTAGCGCCATTTGTTCGACGTCCTCGGCGTGAAATCCAAACCGCTGCCGTATATCGCTCAGCTGAAACACCTCATGTCACCATATTTAGTTTGCCGGTTGCTGTAGAGCAGGGCTGACCAACCTTTTTAAGGCTGAGGGCCACTTCAATGGTACCGAGACTTAGGAAGGGCGACCATTACTGACTCATGAGCTGCAAGTTAGCGTTAGCCTAAACTTTGTTCATTATCAAAACATTTTTATTGTTTCTGTTAATTTCTAAGTTTATTTAGACATTGTCATTTTGAAATCTCCATAAATTATTAAAAAGAAGAGCAACAGAAAAAAAAAAATTCAAACTTAGCCCACTGGTGGGTTGTTCTTTATTTAGAAGACTCTGAGGGCCCCCCATGTGGTCCTTGAGGGCACCGCGTTGGTGACCCCTGCTGTGTGAGAAAATAATCCTGTTTGGAGGAGGGATATATGATGCATTCAAGGTGTGTGTGGAAAAATAAAATAGATGCAGATGGCTTAAAGTCGTCATGCGAATTTGTACTCGATGGCTGCGATAGTCATTATATCTATTGTGCATGAGAAAACTCCAGATACATTGATTATATTCGATATATCACCCATGCTTAGTTGGAACATCAAGCGGCCTGCCGTCCCACAGGAAACATCTACAGGTTCCACCAAAGGAAGCACCAAAAGTCAACTTTCATGATCAGTAAAAATTCAGCACCAGAATTTTAACATCGTTGCTGGAAAGAAAAGAAGAAACTCAAATTAAGGAAGTTTTAAACTTTATTTGATGTGAGGATGGAGCAACAGATGGATCAGAGGTTCCTCTGCAGTAATCAGGACGCTGCTCCAGGATCCAGACCCACCAGCAGGTCTGGACCCACCAGCAGGTCTGGACCCACCAGCAGGTCGGCCCCCTGACCGCAAGCATCCACATTAATGTGGATGTTCAGAAAATCTCTGATTACACAGTGAATGTGTGGAAAAGTTTTTGGTTTTTCTCGCATCGTTGTACAGTAGCAGCCATTCATAATGGCCCTTCCCAGTCAAACGCCAGCAAAATGGCAGCTCACTTCCCTGCAACTCCCAGACAAATATTGATGTTTGAAAAGGAATTGAAGGGGACCAGCCAAGGGCCCATGAAGGAATGAGGGGAAAGCGATTTTTCCAACCGTTGCATTTCCGAATTCTCCCAGTGGTGCCCGACTTTACAGGAGTGAATAAAGTGAATGTGATTGGTCGATTATCAAGGGGGCGGGATTGTTGTGGTGGAAGGTTCACAAGCAAGTTTGATTGTGGCCGGTTTGTGAGAAGCATCTTGCTAACCAGTTAGCAACTTAGTGCTAGCAGGTTCCCAATGGGAAATTCCATTGGGACCAAGTAGCACTAAATTGGTGACTTAGAAACGACGCTGTCAAGGAACGCTATGGACAGCGGAAACATGCAAGAGGAGGAGAGTTTAGTGTCGGAGGTCGTGGATGAGTCTCCTCCGTCATCCATTTTTTATTTAGAGGAGGAAAGCGGGGACGAAGATGTTGTGGAAGAGGACGCCAGGGCGGCAGAAGCTTGGTTTGGTGTAGAAGGCTTCCAGCCGTACATGTTTGAGCCCTTGCCTCGCAACGCTGCCAGTTCTGTTAGCTCTACGCCTGCCGAAGACACAGACGTCCATCCCCGTGAACACTGGGACGCAACTCAATGGGAAAGGAAAGGATTCTGGTTTCAACCGTTGCGTATATTAGCTGCGACACATGAATCAAGATGCTATGACCGAAAACATTTGATTGACAGATGACCGTTGATATATGATTGGCCGAATTTAGGTGTTCAGGCTGACGTAGAACTAACTGGCCTGCAGAAGATAACGGAAAAAAACACAGATTTTAAGACAGGATTTTTTTTAAATAGAAATTTTCTAACTTTTGGGACAATATGATCTGATAAAGAGAACATTTATATACATGGTTAAGCCAGAATGATTTGACATTTAAATATGACTTCCCTACAACTTTAATAGCTACTCCTGTACAGCGAGGAAGAGGAGGCCCGGCCTTCATTTCTTTGAAGGAGCAGATGAATCCAGACATGGAGTCTCACCGGTTTCTGACTTTAACTAAAACCCAGCAGCCCGTTTGGAGTCCAGCTTCTGATCAGATTCAGCCTGCAGCTTGGATCTCTCACCAGGGCAGAACGTTTCCTGCTGCCATCTCTGGAATGTTTCGGAACGTGTCAGGATGTTCTGGAGAGTCGGAGGTCCCCTTCAGGTCTCGCCTTTGGCGTGTTCAGACCCGCCTCTGCTTCCTCCTCGCAAACCTTCCCTCTGCAGATTCCTCCCATGCCTCCCTGCTCTGCGACCTTTCACCCACAGCAGCTGATCTTCCTCTCCTGCCTCTGTTCAGGAGACAGAACGCCTCGAAAACAAAGATGAAAGGGAAAATACCTGCTTCAGGTGTCTGCTGCTGACTCATTCTGTAGCAGAGGCTTAGATCTAAAAAAAAAACCCCAAAAAAACAAACCCCAGAGGGTCTCCAACTCCTGAAAGTAGAGAAGAACGAGGAGAAGCAGCTGAACAATGTGATGCTGCAGATAAACAAACCCTGATTAGAGAGAGAAATCCAAAACACTGATTCATCAGCGCCACGGAAACAAAAACAACAAAGATAAAGGAATATTTACACAGAACTATTATATAAAAAAAGAAATGCTGGTGAAGATTCTCAGTCATCCAGGTCATAGTCATTCCAAAAAAGTAAAAAAAAAAACAGTGGCTGCTGGATAAAGCCTGGAAGTAAACGCTATTTCTGACATTTTGATTTGAAAAAGCTTCCTGGATGGAAGAGAAACGTCTTTGGAAGTCCGGTGGATTGAATTGAACGTTTTTGGAAAAATTATATTAGGTTAATGTCTTTGTTCAATTCAGTAAGAAAATTAATAAAGGGAAATGAAATGCTGCAGTAACTTCTAGGTTATTTTTTAAACAGGTGTTGTAGCTGTTGGTGCTGCAGGGAGGAAGGAGCTCCTGTAGAGGTCTGTCTTGCACCGGATCTGGAGAATCCTCTGACTTAAGACACTCTTTTGGTGTTTAACAATCTGATGAAGAGGATGCTCACTGTTGTCCATCTTTTTCTTCACTTTATGAAGAATCCTTCTCTGTGAAATCCTCTCCAGAAGTTCTAGAGGAGTTGCTAGAACAGAGCTGGTGTTCTGTCAGATGAGCATACCTGGTCAGAAAGCATAGTCATTACCCGTTTATCCCTTTAGTTCATCATTTTAGTTAATCTCTTTAGTTTTGTATGAAAAAATAGACTTTAAACTACCTCAAAGGGGGTCTATCCCTTCAGTCATTTACAAAAAAACAATTTAATTACTGACTTTTTGGTGTTTTTTGAAGCGTATGTTGATCTGACCTTAAATTATTATTTTTTTGTACATGACTAAAGGGATTGACGTCAGTTGAGGTAGTTCAAAGTCTTTGTTTCGTACAAAACTAAAGGGATAAACGCAAATCTGACGTCTGGTGAATGTGTATTGACTATGTGTATGCTGGTCTGATGGCGTATGCTGGTCTGACAGAACACTGGCCTTCTTTATCAGCTGGTTGAGCTTCTTTCAGGCGTTACCTCTGATGATGATGATGATGATGATGATGATGATGATGATGATGAGGAAGAGATCAGACTCTCCACAGCAGACTGATTACGGTTTAAACTTTATTTGATGTGAGGATGGAGCAGCTGCGGGATCAGAGGTTCTAAGTTGGACTTAAGCTTTTTCTAGAAAAAGGTTTTTAAATTCGTTGATTGTAAATCTGAAGATTTTCTACGTCTTTAGCAGATTTCTCCCTTTCTGCTGACTTCTGTTGGGGAATCAGAAAACGATGCATTTCAGGCCGACTCATTCGCACACAGAATCAGTTACATCTCTTCACGCCTCCCCTGTGACTCTTTGGCGCCCCCCAGTGGAAGCGCGCCTCACCTATTGAAAACCACTGCTCTAGAAGTCCAGCCTGCTCTGTCCCTTCACAGAGACGGTTACTATCTGTGTCTCAGTCCAGGTTGGTGTCCAGGTGAACACCAAGGGATTTCTACTCCTCCTCCACTTCTTCTCCCAGGATGTTAACAGGATTCATCTTGTTCCTGTTTCTTCTGAAATCTCCAATCATCTCCTTGTTTTGTTGACCTTCAGGATCAGATGATTGTTTCCACAAAGTGGTTGACCAGCTCTCTGTACTCAGCTTCTGACTGCATCGAGTGACAATGACTGAGTCATCCCAGTATTTCTGCAGATGACAGGACTCTGTCTGGTCCTGGAAGTCAGAGGAGAACAGAGGAAAAAGGAAAGGAGAGAGGACCGTCCCCTGAGGTGCTCCTGTGGTGCTGGATCAGCCAGCTGAGTCTTCAGTCTAACAACCTGTGGTCTGTCTGTCAGGTGGTCTTTGATCCAGGTGGCTGGCTGTTGATGCCTCCACCTGAGTCTGCTGGAGTTAAAGTCAGTCAGGCTGAATGTTGTTAAATGGAGAAATCAAAGACCATGATCCTCACAGTGCTGTCTGCCTTATCTACATCACAGTGGGTTTGTTGAAGCAGGTGGATGATGACATCATCAACTCCATCTACATGGCGATAAATGGTGAACCAGCAGAAGTCTCAGACGTCCCTCCTCCAGCTGATCCCTGAGGCGACACCAGGTCAGCTCAGAGACATCGTCCCTCCAGCGTGTCCTGGTCCTTCCACCAGGCCTCCTCCTGATGGGACGTGCCTGGAACACCTCCTGAGGGAGGCGACCAGGAGGCATGAGGAGCAGATGCCCGATCCTCCTCAGCTGGCTTCTTTCCACGTGGAGGAGCAGTGACTCTACTTCCTGCTCCTCCCGGGTGACTGAGCTCCTCATCCGATCTGGAAGGGTGCGCCCAGCTACCCTGCTAAGGGAGTTCATTTCGGCCGCTGGTATTAACGATCTTTTCTTCGGGTCGTTATCCAGATCTCATGACCATAGCTGAGGGTGGAACGTAGATCCATCTGTAAATCCAGAGCTTTGCCCCTCGACTCAGGTCCCTCTTTACCACGACAGTCCGATGCAGCGACCGCATCACTGCCGACGCCGCACCGATCCGACTATCGATCTCATGCTCCATCTGTCCCTCACTCCTGAACATGACCCCGAGAAATTGGAAACATTTCATTAAGTAAAAATTTGGAACTAATTTAATCAGTGAGTGACTACGCTTCCTGATGTGAAGCTCTAGTTTTGGTGAGGGAACCCTGAGGAACCCCAGTCTGGATAAAAACCGGAACAAGAGCAGCAAATAAACTGGAGTACTAGAAAACCGACCAATCAGTGAGGCAGATTCAGCAGGGCACTGCTCTAAATACAGATAATCTTAGATCATCTTAATTCAGGGGGAGTGGCGGCCATGTTTAGTGGAATCCTGAGGTTCTGAGTTTGAGCCTCACTCCCACAGACTGCCACTCTGTGTCCCTGAGCAAGACCCTTAACCCCACACTGCTCCCCGGGCACTGCACAATGGCAGCCCACTGCTCCCCAAGGGGAGGGTTTAAATGCAGGGGTAAATTTCTCCTATTTGAGACCAATAAAGTTAAATTATTATTATTATTAATCAGCTGCTGTGACTCGGACCCCTGTGGATGAGTGGGTTTGTGTGTTTTTCTCTACCTGCTCTCGCTCTGGATAATAAGATGCACAGATGACGCGTCTGAGGCGCTGCACGAATCCTCCGGTCAGAGAGACAATCAGAGCCAGACCCAACAGGAAACCTGCCGCACCAAACAGAACAGAACCAGCAGGAAACATCATCAGAAGGGAACTTCCTTTATCTTTCTCTGCTAAGGGTTCCTTCAGCGCCGCAGGTCTGCAGACAATCTGACTCTCAAGTTTCCCTCTGCAGACATCTGAGGGAAACCTGCAGCTCCTGATTACTTCCTGTTCACCTGTACCAGACTGAAGGTTATTTCTAGTCCAGAATGGGTCTGCAGCATGGTGGTAACCAGCATTCCTACATTCCTGGAAAGCATTTCCACATCTGGACCCGCTTTTGTTTGAAGGACGTTGTTCATTTCATCAGAAACCCCTCAGAGAATATATTTTTTAACCTTTCTTTTTTGGAAAAACGTGATAAAGTGAAAGCAGAGGTTGACAGTACCGAGCAGCAGGCTGGTGCTGTATCTGGGCTCCGACGGCTCCATCAGACACTTCCTGCTGATCACCGTGATGTTCCCTCGCTGCAGGATGTCAAACGAAGCCACCAGGTCCCTAAAGATGTCCGAGGCGTAGCCCGACCCGTTTACCTGGATCACCACCTGGGCAGGAACTGATGGTAGCAGACCGTTAACTAATTTCCCTCTGAGATTATTAAAGTATTGCTGATTCTGGTTACTATGGCGACACAACCACACCACTTCCCTGTGGGGCTGGAGGCCTCACCTCTGGCGACCACATCCATCTTCACCTGGTGGTGCACCTGATCCAGGATCCAGAACACGAGGAAGTCCAGCCCGACAAGCAGGCCGCCGATGGTCAGGTGTTTAAGGACGGAGGCCACGCCCACCAGCACGGCCCGCCGCTCCTTGTACGACAGGCGAAATGACACTGCAGGAGAAAAGCAGAACTTTACTGAAAATGTTTTTGGAAAACTTCTAGTCCATTTAGAACGAAAGAGGAGCAGCTCTGACGTGGTGTGATGTAGGTCCTGGCCTCTCTGCGTGTGAGCGGCAGCACCGAAGCCCCGCCCACTGATGCCACCTGCTGGTCAAGTTCTTTGAACTGGGCGTTGATGTAAATGTTGTCAAAATGGAGGTCCTTGAGGTACCTGCGTCTGTACATCACCGCCCTGCATACAGCATCACAGACAAAGAGTCACAGACAGAGTCACAGACACAGACTCATACACACACACATAGTGCCTGTGACTCTGTCTGTGGCACAGACAGAGTCACAGACACAGAGTCACAGAGATACAGACACAGGATTAAAGAGAGTCACAGACACTGTGTTACAGATGCAGAGTCACAGTTACAGAGTCAAATGGACAAAATGTCACAGACAGAATCACAGACACAGACTCATACACACACATATGGCCTGTCACACTGTCTGTGCCACAGACGGAGTCACAGGCACAGTCACAGGGTCACAGCCACAAAGTCAAAAACACAGAGTCACAGACACTGTGTTAGAGATGCAGAGTTACAGTTACAGAGTCAAATGGACAAAGAGTCAGAGACAGAGTCACAGACAGAGACACAGAGATACAGACACAGGATTAAAGAGATTCACAGACACTGTGTTACAGATGCAGAGTCACAGTTACAGAGTCAAAGACACAAAGAGTCAGAGACAGACTCACACAGGCTCACAGACATAGGCACAACAAATTAAGCAGTGCAAAAATAAAGCTGAAAATTATAATAATATTAAATAAAAGTAATTATTCTAAATATGAATAAAGCTAATTGAAATATATTAAGACCTTTAATTCTCATTGTAAAATTTATCACTGCCTACACCTATTTATCTGAGGTTTTGTCCATTTAATTGTCTGCCAATATATTTATTGAGCTTTATTTTATTTCTTCTAATAATGTCAGAGTTGGTTCATACCAACGTTCTGCTAAATGAACCCTGAAAAGTTCAGGCGGCTGCAGCTGCTGCTCACCTTATGAAGGACCAGCCCAGCAGAACCAGGCTCCAGTACGTCAGAGGTCCACTCAGCTTCTGAAAAATCAGCAGGTCCGAGGAAATCTCCTCCATGATCTCCTGGGACGCCTGCTGCAGAGAGCGGCTGCTGTTGGCTTCCAGGTCGGAGCTCATGGAGGCGGAAATGTTGAAGTCAAACTCCCGCATCATCTTTTTGAACGCAGCGACTGTGGCTGAAAGAGGTCAAAGTCCGAGCGGTTAACCCGCGGCAGAGACGGCAGCAGCAATGGGAGAACGTAACTCACGCTCTGCCAGACGCTGCTTCAGGTGGGCGGCCACGTAGGATGGGATGACACAGAAGAGCTCCCCAGCTGAAAGAGACGCCATTGGTTAAAGACCAGCGCCGCTTTCCGTTCAGCAGCTCACAGTCAGCAGACTCAGAGCCAATCAGGAGAGGCGGCAGGTGGACGCTGATATGAGTCTGGTTCTAATGCTTCACTCTTAGAAACGACTGGACTACGGCTTGGAGATCATCTAAAGACAAGATGTTGGTGAACGCACCACGAGCGAGGTTGCAGAGAGGCAGGAAGCCGTCCACGATGTCACACAGGAAGCTGAACTCCCCGAGCAGGGCGGTGCAGTCGCCCCGGGCCTGGGCAAACACGTCCCGACACTTCCTGTATGGAGCGCCCATCTTGTCGTTACAGATGTCTCCGATGTCCACCAGGAAGTGGAGGACGTTCTTCAGGGTGCGAGCTGCAAGGTCAAAGGTCACTTTAATTCATACAAGCAAATAAGATGATTTTATACTTTGAGTCAAAACTGGACATTTAAGAGTGAAAATGACTGAAGAAGAAGAAGCCTGCAGACTACTGATGGAACAGGAAAACCTTTCTACTTTAGAATAAAGACAAACAAAGGCCTGACCAACATGGCGGACGCTGTCTGTCAGGGCATGGATGAAGTTCTGGACTCTTCCTGCGAGGGCGTAGGCGTTGCTGCTGATCTCTCTGATTTCCTCCAACGCGGCTGCAGAGGAAGCAAACCTTTGAGCTCGGATCATTTCCTGGTTCTCTGCTTATGCTGATGGATTCACAGAATATGAATAAACATAGAAACAACCGACATGTGAGGATTAGCGGAACCGTATGGAGGGAATTTTCTGCCAAAACGTTGCATAAAAAAAAAAA